CAACATAGAAATCATAAAAATCGAAAACTACTTACGGAGGCCACTACAACAGAAAAAGAAAGCGGACAAATATCGAAATAAGTTAAACACAAGCCATACCAAACCAAAAAGATTCTCCACAAAGAAACACCGATTCCAGACACAAAGTCCGGAAATTTGCTTTTGTAAATTACAGATTTATCATATCTTGAATCTTTCATTCATCAACTGTAAATTATATTTACGCATTATAAATTTGTGCAAATCAAACATCTAACTTCTCTGTTAGAAACAAATGAAAACGAAGTTAGATCTCTCTCTCTCTCTATCCTGTACTACTACTTACTGTATTGAGCTTCTCTCTGTTAAATCTAATATCTTGTCTCTTCAAACATAGTAAACCATTCCAACTTCAAGCAGAGAAGTATGAGGAACATTAAGCACAACATCTGTTCCTCTGCAATTCGTGCTCATAAACGCAAACACTACATTCACTGCTAATTTCTTCAACACCGAAGAAGATTGCTTCGCTTTCGCATACGAATGTCCCAATATATATGCTACTCCTGCTTCTTTTGCTTCCATAATCTCCAAAGTTTCTTCCTTTCTCTTTCTCATCACGTTCGACCCTTCTTCTTCTTCAAATCCCGGTTCAGTTTCAACGAATTCGGTAATAGCAGAGACTAACCGGCTTTCGAAATCATACATTTCTCTTGGAATGTCTCTGTATCCATACCTAACCACACTTCTAAACATTCCATACTCTTTAGGCCCCACTCTGCTTATCACAAACCTCTCTTCTTCTCCAATGTATGGCACCTGAACCGATTTCACACATACAAACACTAGGATCCGGTGAAATGCCGGTAAATTCGTCACAAAATGTCCGAAAACAGCCGGAACTCCTGTGACAAGATTCGTGTAGACCAGTCCTATCCCCGGAACTCTCACCATTCCGATACTCGGTCCCAGAGAGATTATCCGGTCCATTGAGACCTTGTTCTCAACGTCGAATTCGTGCTTCTTTGTAGTTCCGTAGTTCCAGATATACATTACCGCCATGAATGTCAAGGAGAGGAGAATCGGAATCCAACCTCCTTCGGGTATTTTGTAGGCGCATGCCGAAAAATATAGAAGCTCGATAGAACCGAAACCGACCAAGAAAGCTAGAACCGTAATTGTTCTCTGCTTCCAGACAATTGTCATCACTAGTATCATCAAACATGTAGTCACAAGCATCACAGAGGTCACAGCAAGTCCTGCAGAAAAGCAAAAAGATTACATGTAAAGTTTTCAACCTTTTTTGAAGTTTATGTCACTGATCATGATCTTTTACCGTATGCGTGACCGATCATGTTAGTGTCTCTTAACCCGATTGTAACCGCCAAGCAAAGGCACATCAACATCCAGTTAACTTCAGGGATATAGATTTGTCCATGGATTTTGCTTGAAGTGTGAATGATCTTGACCCGAGGAAAGCAATCGAGCGCACAGCATTGACTTATGATTGAAAATGTTGCAGATATGACAGCTTGGCTTCCAATCACGGCTGCAAATGTAGCCACGATGAACACTGGCCAGAACACAGGCTCTACAAATAACACAAGATCGAGTTAATCACATTCAAAGTCTCAAAAAGTTTCGATTTTTGATAATTTGTGATTGCACACTATATGGCTTAAGAAGTTGTTTTACCGGGTATCGCCTTGTAGAAGCTCCTCTGGATGTCTTCATGGTGCTTCGAGAGAAATGCAGCCTCGCCCATGTACGCAAGAATCAAACACGGGTATACAAAGAACGAGAAAGCCACCTGATTTCAATTTATGCCACATTTTTGTAATTGTAATATCATTTAATTTTTCATTTGAATCATATCTGGTAAAGTTAAAGGTCTAACCTTAATGGACAGAGAAGAGAAGTGGCCTAAGTCAGAAAACATAGTCTCAACACCTACGGAGGAGGTAGAAGACAATATAAGACTAAAAGAACATAATCTTTGATAATGTTATTATTCATATGATTAAAGAAGAAATATTCTTTACCAGTGATTGAAAGAACTACTCCTCCAAGTGAAACCCACCCTTCTACGCCAGTGCTTTTTAGGAACTTGTACATGTAAACCGGCGAAAGTGCAGAAACAATATGCGGGTTCCATTTTATAGTGTTGTAAACTCCAATACTACTAATTGAGAGAAGCCAAGCAGTGGAGATTGGAGCGAAAATGAAGGCAACTCTATGCGTACCATATCGCTGGACTGAGAATATCGCCACCAAGATGACACAGGATATGATCACAACGTAATCTGGAAATTAAGGAAAAGAGAAACAAAACTTGACATGAGACGAACGTTAATTAGCTTTAGATATACATAAATTGCCAAAGTAAGCAAGCAGATTCAGTCATACTCTCGTGAAGTTCGGGTATCTTGAGCTTGACTCCAGAAACAGCTGAAAGAACTGCAAGAACCAAATTGTTTAGAAAACGACATTTTCATCTAAATAAGAAGACGATAATTCCTGAAAAATTCACCTGAGATTGTTGYAGTGAGGACACTGTCACCAATGGCCATACATGTCCCTAAAAGCACAAAGATCAACAAACACTTTTGCGATTTCGGGTGTTTCTCAAAGAATGACTTAACCGCTGCGCTCTGCCGAGTCTCTCCCGGGCTTCCCGTGGCATAAGTTGATAGTTTCTCATCCATTTCTTGATGGTTTGGTAAAACACTTAGCTTAGCATATCTGCAGAGAAGTGAGTACAACGCAAATGTTCCACCTTCAAAAACAATCAAAACACATGCGATTAATAAAATATCGAAAAACATAAGTAGACAAGTTCATATTTTTCAACTATCTGAGGAAAACTGTTATACCTTCTCCATTATCATCAGCTGAAAGAACAATGAAAACGTATTTGAAGAGAGCAATGAGTGTGAATGTCCAGAAGATGAAAGAGAAGACTCCAAAGATCTCTTCATCGTTTTCATGGAGACTTAGTTTCCCAGAGAAAGTGGTTTTGTAAACATAGAGAGGAGATGTGCTAAGATCACCATAGATCACTCCAAGGCTCTGGTAAGCCAAAGTGAGAACATTGGCACAAAACACAGTCTTCAATTGCTGAAACATTTTTAAAAAATTTGATCACAAGATTTTTAAGTATATAGAAACATTCAATAACAAAACTTATTATTTATACCCCAATTTTCCCATCAAGTATGACCTAAATATAACCAGAAAACCAAATTGCATTAACTCATAAACTTTAATCTTCAGATTAATTAAGAGTTCTGTTCCATTAGAAGTAAACTACAAAACCAAACAGTCTTAACAACAAATTTGGATTTTTCTCATACAACTCATCTCTTTCCTAAAAAATACAGACTTTATATTTGAAAACAAAATCTCCTGCCTAATTACTTTTACATTAATAACTATTAGAAGTTTCAATTTCACAAGTTAGTGAATTTTCACAAGTTATCTAATTTCACCAAACATGAAAAGCGTTCACGTCATAATTTTTTTTGTTTTTCGGTTTGATAAAGACCAAAGTCGATATGGTTTAGCAGAGGACCTACCAGTCCTAGTTGGGAAACAATCCAAAAAATCATAAAAATGAAGAAAAAACAGAGCAAACAAAAACAAACAAAAAAACCCATAACTTCTTTCACTTGTTCTTCTTCACATACGAAACCCAATCTCTACCACATAAATTCTCACTGAAAATTAGCATTGTCACCCAAAATCAAAAACCCAGAACGAGAAATGGTTTCAAAGAAAAAACCCATTACAAGAAGACAGAACAGAACAGATTGTCTTAATGAAGAAAAAGAATGAAAACAGAACAGAGACAGATAGTTGAAAGTAGAGGAGATTTTGGTCAGAATGAGAAATAAAAGAAACTGACCTGGTGAGAAATTCCCTGTTCGATTAGATTGGGTGATTGGTTCATGGCCGTAAGTTGTTTTCTGGG